TCTAGTGCCACCATCAAGTAAAAATTACAATTGGTCCAACACTTTGGTTTATGACCAAATACATGCAAAACGAATGACATTCCCATCAGCCTCAGCTGCCTTTGTGTTTGGTGCTGCTTTGAAAACGTTAGCATGCTAACCTGCTAAACTAAAATGGTGACCATGGTAAACATTATACCTGCTCAACATCAGTCTGTTAGCACTGTCACTGTGAGCATATATTAGCATGCCATCGTTACCACTTAGCTCAAAGCACAGCTTCGCAGAGCCTCTGGCATGGCTGTAGAGTTGTTTACCAATTTTCCAATAAAATCAGAGCATCATACTTAGACTTGGATGTTGACATGAACGCCTTTTACAGTCATACAGTCATGGCAATTATGATATATTATGAACTACAATATGAACATGAATGAGAGGCACATCAAACATATAATACTAGGTGTATGATTAGGGGGACGAGGGGCAGGTGATGATCAGGTGACTGCTGACCAGTCAGGGAACAACAAGGTCTGTCATGACAGGAAATGTTACAACAGGAAAATATTGTAAATGGCAGAAAAAGATGCCGAAGTAAACTCGGGTGGCTCTGTCAAAAAAAAAAAAAACCTGAAGGCAGTTGACTTTCATTGGAGATTACGCAGTAAATATGCACATACATCACAACACAGTTTAGGTGTGTGGCAATGCTGTGTCTCAATAATGCGCCATGTCATCTTTTCTAATCTGGGATTGACTAATCCCTCTCTGTTCCTCCTCCTCTGTGGTGAGTGGATTCACTATGGATGGTTCATGTTGACCCTGCTGTCTTTTTGGCTGCAGGGCGGTGGTCTCCGGGGACTATGTGCACCACCATCATGTTTCTCTCCACTCTCGCTCTAGTACTGCGCCGGCATTTCGTCAGCCGAGACAAGAGGACGTGAGTTGTTGTTGCTTTTGTAAACCTTTATCTAAGCAGGGCAGGGTGTTACTACTCATTCATGTCCCTGCCATAATATAAGTTAATTTAGTTTAAAGGTAAAACTTTATAACAGAGCTGTAGACTGGAGACTTGACTCAGACTACTTCAAAGTATTTTTGTTGAACTGCTTCTGGTCACTGAGGAAATATGTTCTGGAGGTTATTGAAGATGCAGTAAAATATGCCTCTACGTAATTATGATTACACTAAATGAATGATTGTTATTGAAGTTGTAAGTCTTGTACTAGCAGGGCTATTGCCGTTTAAATTTCCCAAGCAGAACCCCAGCCACCAAACAAACTCCAAATCACAAATGATCTTACTTTGTTTATTCATTTGACTGTCCAATTATATTTTATGGTTGTTTAATCTTTCTAAATTATGTTTTCTTGCAAGGTTTGTAATTGTGGGGGTGAATTCTAAATTAGTATAATTATTTTCCTAAATACTGTCAAATTTAGTCTTAACTAGTGTCAAAAATCTGTAATATGTAAATCATGAAACGTAAAGTCTGAGCCTGTGAGTCACTAAGAAGGGTACCTTCGTGTTTGAGGTATTGACACTTGTTCTTTTTAATTGCAGCAGAGCCTTTGTTCTTTTATAAAAATACAAAAAAACAATTGACAATGATTTCATTCTAGTAAACCAGCCCAACAAAGTCCTATTTTGTGATTTCTTTGTGTTGTTTCTGGATCAAAAACTCCTTCATGATTACAGGAATTCTTTACAAGTAGCATCTCCGGCCTTCAACAGTAATTTCATAAGCAGTGTATAAAACCATGCACCTTCTGTCTGGTCCAGCTTTTAACACTCAGTAACTGGAGGTTCAAGTTGAAAGCTTTATGTTGAACTCTTTCATTTATCGCTGAATACAGCAACATGGCTTTGCTTTCTTCCGGTGCTCTGGTTGTGCCGAGATCTTCGCACTGTTTGAGAATAAATTGCTTTAGATGTCATCATCCTCAGGTTGTCAGATATTGATCTCTCCACACAATTATGTGTAATGAGGTGCAGCGCCTCCATTGGAGATCCATGTCTAATGCCGGAGCATGACAAAGTAGAGAGCACTACATGAGTCATTGTCCTTCAGGCTCTCGACCCCCCCGGGCAGGGTCTATCCTTCGACCTCCTTGGTGCTCATTAGGACATTCAACATCTTCGGACAAACAAAGCAATTATGTGGTGTGAAAAACGCCCCGCTCTGGGGCTTGCTTAATTTTAAGGTGGTGTGTGCTGGGAAACCAGCTGAACACTGGGAAATGTTTTTGTCTTTCTGGATTAGTCAGCCTCACAATGACTGTTTTGTCACTGAAGGGGAATCTCCGAGAGCTGGATGCTATTCTGAGCCGACTAGAAACTGGTGCTGATTGCAAATGCCAAGATTAATATGTTGAGAGCCGCAGTAACACTGACGAAAAAAAAGCTGATGCTGGTTTAAAATGCCCTTTATGAAGGTTGTTTTAAATACATTAATTAAAACATAATAGTTTTAAAGAACATACACTTGACTCTTGGCTGTCAATCAAATTTATGACGCACAATGACATGCTGTTGTATAATAAACTGACATATGTCTTTAATATGACGTCTCAGGAGGAGTTTAGTACAAGATCGGGATACTTAATATAGCTGTGGTTGAACAAATTGTATGTGTTGGATTAAGACTTTACATTTTCTCAGGAACACAGTTTTTCTCATAAAACGCCACAGATCCAAACTGATAGTTTACTTAATTACACAGGCAGATCCGGTAATAACCATCCATTTGTTTTGACATTCAACTAAATAAACAGATGACAAATAATTATACTGTATTGAGCTGCTGAAAGGTTGAATCATAAATGCAGCATTAAGAAACAAAGACGGATATTTCTTGATGAAAGGAAAAATGGAAAAGCTTTCCAATGTTAGAGAATTGGTTATTTTTATCAGAAATATGCAGTGATGAAAGTTAAGAATTATCCCTGTTGTTATGACACTCAAGTAACAATTACATTTATAGACAAACATATTGCCGTCCAGACATACTGTATCTACATCTGGACCTATTTCTACAGTGTGTTTTGAGTTGGATGATTTACAGCTGAACAAGACTAAGGGGCGAATTCACAAAAGGATTGCGAGGCTTTAGCAGTCGCTAAACCTACGCAAATAAGACAGAAAGAAACCGTGAAATTCTTAAAGCACCCGCAAAGGGTGAAAGGCCCTCACTTCGCTGCCAAGCAAATGGGCCTTGTTGCAAAACCAAACCAATTCAAGAAGATCAGTGCTGTGAACTATAAGCTTCTTCAGAGAGTTGGCGGTAACAGAAGCGCGTTAATAAGGGTTGACTGTAAATTGATGCAATGACAGTTGTGTCTCAGCATCACCAACGATATACCTCTTTACCAATTTTTAAAGTTAGGCTGTGTTGTCACTGCCAAGATGGCGGCGGCCGGAGCCACTCCCTTTGAGCTTCACAACACCTCTCCTGAAACCTATGGGTGACGTCACAGACTCTACGAGCGCATTTACGCTTTGCAACATGGGATAATTGCAATAACACGCAAAAAAGGGCAAATTGTACACACCTGCCAAAACTTCATGGGCACGTTTATGGTGTAATATCATTCCCGCAAAATCATTTTTGAATCGGACCTCGACACGGGAAAGATAGTGGTTGCAAATGATGGGCAATTCAATCATCGGTGCATCTCTAAATGTTATATTTGCTCCCATTTTTATTTTGTGCTGATCAGATCCGTGACTCAAAACCGTGATTGCATCCGAACTGTGAGTTTCATGATCCGTTGCACCCCTAGTGGTTGCTCAGGGAGTAGACAAAAACAATTATATTATGAAAAAACATCATCGGGGAATCCAATTTGTTCCGTGAGCGCTCACTGAGTCATTGTGCCAGCTAGCTGCACCGCTTTACACACTGCAGGAATAACATGAAAGTGCAGAATAAAGCACTTGAAAACAGGAACATTTTCACTCTGCATTGCTATTCAAGTCATTAAAAGGCTTTGTTGAAGGGATGCTAAAATAAATATCAGACTCACACACCCACAACACACACTGACCAACACTTCTCTGTTTGCCTGAGACAGTGTGAGGCGTAACCCCACTCTCTCCATGTGGCAGCAGATTGCTTTCCCTGACTTAAAAACCGCCATCCCCTCACTCGTCAGCTTCACAAGTGTTTCCCATCATTCTCTGCTTCATCCAAGCCAATTATAATCTTAGTCCACGGATAACACACAGTTCTGACCACTCTGACCTCCTCCATCTCCTCCTCCTCTCAGCCATCCCAAAGACTCGGGGGAGAATGAGGCACCAAGTGTGCAGTGCAGCAAAGACTGAGAGGAGTGACGCTCCGTGTGTTACCAGGCATCCACCTCAGGTAAACAATGATTACTATACTGTTGTCTTGTGTCATCAATCCCTTCCCCAAGGTCAGGGGATTTTATCAGAGCCTTTGTGAGCTGGACCAACAGCTTAATCACTACTCTGAATTACATGTAGTCAACGCCTTCACATTTAGACTTTCCCTGTTTTCAAAGAAGGCGAGGTGATTCACAAATCTTCTTGGGGGCAGTTTGTATAAGACTCTAAATATGTCAAGCTGTTGATGAAGCTAATTACAGCAGTCGTCCCTCATCGTCTCACAGTGACAGAAAATTAGACAGTAGGCCTATTGTCGTTCTTATTTCACCTAAATTTCAGTCTGGGCGACAATAAAATAATAAGTCTATCCAGTTGACACAGTAATATTATCCAATAGGTGGATAAAATGTATTTACACTGACTTACCAGTTCATTAAGTTTAGTTTTGTAGAATCTACTGCAATTGCGTTTCTATTTACTTCATAAAAGGAAATGGACAGCATTGTTAAGTGTTTCTGTTATTTTGTCCACCCACAAGCGAAGTGTCTCTGTCATGTCAACATCTGAAATATTTGGTAAAATAGCAGTGTGCACACTGATAACAGCGTAACATCTAACTCATGTAACACTGAAACCACATTCAGTCTAAAACATGAACGTGTTTTGTCTCTCCACAGATATTCAGCCTCCAGATCAAACTCAATTCAAACTCAGATCAAACTCAGGTACATGTTCATTATTCTGACTGCCACATATAACCAAACCTGTGCCCTGCACACTGGTATCCTCTATTGTATTCAACACAATGCCAGCTGGAACATTTACCAGAAACACTGCAGTGAAAGGTAATCCAGCATTTAAAGATGTGTTTTATCAGCTTTTATTGGCCTGATAATGGGACTGTAGTCTGACCTCTACATCTACACTCATACTCTAAACCTTACGAGCAGCAGAGATCCCGCTGCACACCGTTACCACCTGCTCTGTGTTGAAGAGTATCAGATTCTAGGCTCATGTTACTTTGTAGGAAACTGTGTTGGACCCTCGAGGGGGGGCGGACGTGGTCGGTGCAGTGACACGCTGTGTGGAGGGGACATCATGGCTGGGAGAGGAGACGGCCGGGCAACGGACGCACGTTTGCCAGAGCACTGGAGGGACGTGCGAGACTGGAGCATAGAGAAGAGACAAAACCACAGAGTAAGAACTTCTCTAACGTCTGAACCGCTTCTGCGCCCGCTCTCTCCGTCTAAACTTGTTGTGGTCTTGTTTTCTAGCAACGGCCTTTCTTACAGCTCTTGCTCATTTAACTGAGCTCAGAGCCGCCTGTTGTCTCCCGGTGCAGTCAATACTAACTCATTCAGACAGTCTATTATGTTTTCCTTTGTCCGATGCCTCTGGGTGGTGTCCAGCAGATCAATCAATGTCAGTGCTCCTTTACTTATCTCTAAACTGTGCTGCATCTCTTGTGTAATCGCTCAATTACTGTATGCGTTTGTATTTTGTTTTACAAAAAAAAAACATCAATAAGGTTTTACCAGCAAGTAATGCACGGAGCTTGTTAGTGTTATACATTTGCTTATATATTGTATGGCCTTCTACATGTAGCGTGTGGGACAACATATGATGACACATTTTGTCACGGGGTGTGGTGGAGGACTCAAATGCAAACATGACCAGATGCAGAGTGAGCAGGTGAGAGTGATTGAGCTGATGAGGTGGGTGTGACTAACAGGTGCACTGAATGAGCTGATTAGGTGAGTGAGAGATAGAGTGACAGGACAGAATTAGCAGAGCTGTGACACATTAAAAGACTTTGACACCAGTGGTTTTCCCTGTAGGCCAGGTGATCTGCATCTCCTTCATGCTTTTTGATAGATAAGTTTAGAAGTGAAACTGACATAAAAATCTGTACTAATTACTGTATTAATTAGCTTCTTAATGAAGTCATTATCAAACACCATCAAACCATGCTGTGCTCCTAGTAAATACAACACAAAGAAGGACAAACCTGCCTGTCGGCACAAACTGCTCTCCAGCCGTGTGTGAATTTTTCATTAATCTGGAAAGTAAATATCCAAAATAAACTAAATAACTATGCACCTGAGAGCCTGACAGACAGCCGTCATGTCATTCACTAGAGGATTTGGCTATGACATTATTGCCATCACTAACTTTGTTTTTGTTTGCCGCCTTCCAAAAAAGGTTGCAGGTCAGCACCTCATTGACGGATGGTTCAGCACCCTGCTCTACTAATCAATTAGTTGATCTAACGGACAGTTTCTCCACCAAGAATCACACAAAAGCACCACCTTAAATCTGACCAGAGATGAGTTCAGAAATCCTTTAGAAAAAAGTTCATTCAGTATGAAAAAGGCATAAGAAAAGACTGATCGACCCAATGATGGACTAACAACTAGTTCAGTGACAGTGTTTAGTGCAGGAAGTAGTATAACTTGGGATTAATTAATAATAAAATTGTTGGAAGTGCATTTGTTTTACATATAGGTACCATATGGACGTTCTGAGGCCTCTCTTAAAAGTTTATATTCAGTTTATATTCAGCACATCTTCGTCTGAAAGGGAAAAACTTGTCCAGGATCTCATCCATGAATATTGTTTAATGAGTGTAAACTGGCAGCTATTTCCCTCAATCAAATTTACAAATAGTAAATGAGGGAGTTACAATCCATATGAAGCTTTTAAACAAAAAACACGATTTTGCAGCCTTTGGATTAGGAAACCGAGCGCTACAACACCCGATAACACAAGAGGAGGACATCTAGCAACATATTCATCCTGCATACCGATCTAACGGGAAGAAGTTCAGCTAAAAGCTCATGATTATCATTTTTACCTAAATAATTCCAACAACAAGCAACAAAAGGAGCACGTATCAAAAACACGCGGTGCATGCACGCATTAACCGAACCCGATAGATGGATTTTTATACAGAACCATCTGAGAAGTCGTCATTGGAAACTGTTTGGAAAAGGGCAGGCACTTTCCAAAAATACGTGGCAGGTGATTGGATAAACCATCTGTCAATCAAACTGCCGAAGCAAGTCGGAAGAAGAGAGAAAACGTCCTTCAGTGTCGTTCTTTTCTTTGCTTTCAATTAGGAAATACTCTCAAGTTCAACATTTACACTCAGCCTTCTTCCAGCATTCAACAGCCTATCATCAGCCTTCCATGTGAAAACACACACACACACACACACACACACACACACACACACACACAGACACACACACAGACACACGCGCACCTCTACTAAAACCTCTCCAACTTTGCTCTGCTTCACTTTATTAGCATCAGTCTGTGCACAGGCAATGTTCAGATATGGGATTTGGTTTGCTGGAGGATTTGGGCTGCGGCTGCATCATTCAAAAGGGATATTCTCTCTAAAACTGTACAGTTAGGTTAGAAATTAAATCTTTTCCATCTTCATTCACTCTGACCCAAGCACATATGATGATGCTTACATCTCTGCAGAAATCTCACAAGTGTTACCTTTGTTATGATACCACCAGTATTCAAATAGTAGTTGTAGTTGTACTCTAAGGCAGAGGTCTTCAACAGGGGGTCCGCGAAATATTTGGTTGATGAGACAATTAAAAAAAAAAATTGTTCAGTATTGTATGAAAGATAACAGGTATCTTTATGCATGGCAGTGGCACTAATAGGCCATCACTCATTTTTCGTTTCTACATTTATGTTTAAAATGAAAACATCTATTTGAATAGCTTATATGCATGATTATCATGCAATTGACAGAGAATGTTGATATTGGCATTGGTATCAGTTGACAAGGTATGTTTCTAAATGGCAGTGGCACAGCCACCCTACTCACTGTACCTTGCACATGTTTAAAATAAAGACATGAATATATGAACCTGTGTATTATTTGAATAGCTTAGTATTGAATGCACAATAAAGAGGTATACGCGGTACTAGGCCCATTTAATATAAAACACAATTTTATACAATATATATTCTGTGAAATTTGAACAATAAGATTAAATAGAAATAAAAAATGTTTTTGTCTTCTAGGATGCTAAACATATTTTCCAAATAGAACTGATGTAGCTCTTTAAATATTGTTCCAGAAAATGTCGCCAAACTCTCATTGTTCCACAAAAAATCATTGTTCCACAAAAAAATCACCTTTTTCCAACATTGCCACACCCACTTTAAACCAGCGAGAAAAGCAAAGACAAAAACACAAATACAGAAATCTCTCATGTAAAGAAACTGAAACCGTTCTAACGTTTTCTGAAAATATTGTCTTCATGTAGGACCTTATCACTAGTGACAAGAAGCTGATTGAGAAAATATGTTTCAGAGCCTTTCATTTCATTTGAATTAAGGGTTCCTTCAAACATCTGTCCAAAAGCTAACTCTGTGTCTTTTACAGCATTTACATTGATCAATTAGAACTGTCCTTGGAAAGTAAAACTAACCAACCTGTCTGGTAGAAGTCCAGTCAGGCTGAGCACTTCCTGTAGCTTGCTTAATATTCCATCGACTTGAATATGAAACTACTCTGTTCGCTCAGAGGTGGGTCTGCTGTGATCAAAAGGTGCAATATCCAATTCCGCTTTGCAACATCTCTCTCCTGATGATGAAATACTTCACTTGTCACTCTCTCTCTTTCTCTCGTTTCCACACAGATGTGGGTTGCAGATGTGGAAGGTGTCCTCAGATCCATGGAGAGACAGCTGGCGAGTCATTTTTTTAAAAGAATACCACGTGTAGTAGTGTGACTAGATAGATTAGTCAATTATCTACAAAGTTGTTATGATAATTCTAAATGATGATACTTGTGTTTTTGAATGTGGCCGTCTATAGCTCATTGTGAACAGTGAAGTGTCAAACTAACTTACCTGTTCCCAGAATGCTTTGCTGGAGAAATATCCTCGTCGGTGGAAACAGCCCAGAGAGTCGTCCTCCATCGTCTTTGAACCACACCAGGTCTCTCTGCAGTCGACCAGCTGATCCACAGAGGCGGCTTTAGATGTTCTTAAACTATTTGGCAGCAGAACAACTAACACACTTCAAACCATTCCTATCGATTGTTTTAAACATTTACAGTTGAGATTAGGCGCCTTCAGTGCTGTGTCTTTGTGTCCCGAGCAAGAAAATTGCAACAACCCCAGTTTTCTTCGCAAACCTGAGCACTTCAATCACTCACGCAATGATCTGTTCCCATAAGCTGTTGTATGACATTCATGAGAGGGAAGTAATTTCACACCTGAGTGTATCTTTACTTAACTGTCCTGTAAGCGACGAAAAGTAGTTTCCAACTTGAGCTTCTCCTGGAATGACTGCTAACATTTTGTCCTAAATACTCTGCTAATGACTAGAAATAAACGAGTGTTGTCTGTGATGCACACGTCCTGTTGTCTATATTTGAAGGGGGGGGGGGGGGATCCACACCCACGCTGTCATTAGCACAGAAAGAAGCTACCAGGGTTAATCTTTTGAATCATTTGACATTTTACTCTCTGCACGTGGATTATCAAGCATGTGGAAGGATGCACAAATCATATAAAATAACTATTCAAGCCTACGTATGTACAGGATCTCAGCAATGAATGCGGGTTTTCATCCCTCTATGAGCTGGACCATTTCCTTTGCCCGTAGATGAGATCTTATTTCCCCTCTGATTACATTAATGATTGAATCCTTATTGATAATAAGGTTGTTATCCTGTTTGTTGTCCTGTGGATACCAGTGTGCATTCAATTTATGTTCCGCTGGGACCAACAGGCCACAGAGTTATTTTGAAAAGGGACCAAAACCACCACTGTGACAGGGAGTGTTACGCATCTACTCTATTTAGAGCTTTATTATCGTATTTGTCTCTGTTTGCCATTGTGACAAGTGTGTACCAAATCCCTCCAGCCGTGGTACACTATTGGGGGAACTAATGTGCCAAATACATCGCCACGAACATCGTCTCTGCCAAGCGTGCACTCTGAATCCGCCTGTGTAATCAAGACGGTATAGAACACGCATATCTGCAGATAGCGGCAGCAGCTCTGCCATATCTCGCTGTTGCCTCCTGCCCCTGATGAGCCTCTCTGACTCAAATTACAAGGTGAAAGCGGGGCTTTTGTGAGCTCGGTTAAGTAGAGCAGCTTGGGTAATGAGTGTGGTCTTCCTGCGCACTCTGGCAGACCATGGGAGTTAATCTAATGATGGGGGAGAGAGCCATGATTCCTAATGGACTCAAAAAAGAAAGAGAGAGAGAGAGACAGAGATAGAGAGAGAGAGACAGAGATAGAGATAGGGACTGAGACTCTAATACAGGGCTGTCTTTCTTCCCCAATCACTGGGGCAGCTCACTTTTACTGCAGACTTAATCATATCTCCACCTGACTTTGAGATTCAATATAAAACCCTGAGCGAGGGCCGTGAGGAATCAAAGGAGCAGAACACAACTCATTGGCTCTTGAGAAGCTGATTATAGTTGTTGTTGTTGACTGTTGGCGGTAAAAGGATGCAGGGTATTCGGACATCAAGTAAATATTGTGACCTGTTTTGAAGCTATCCGTCATGACTCACAGTAGCTTGTAGGCTTTGTGTAATGTATGTATACATGTTACTATAGAATAAAACACGGGTCACAAATAAGGTTCAACCACGGGCCAGCTTTTTCAACATTATTCATACAGTAGTCCTGCAGGTGAAATGGAAACACAGACCGAAATGTTTTCAGTATGTATTGTTTCTTTTATTCATAGGAATAAATTAATTTATATAACTGTTTGCATTGGTTTGTATCCCCATTAGCAAGTGAACGCAGTAGTCAATACTGATTTGGTAAACAATGACGAATGTACATTCTGTGTTGCATTACAAGATTGGCAATTAATTGATGTAATTGACAGGAAACCTTCGCTTTTACTGGAGGAAGACAATTTGTCCAAGCAGAATGAAATAAATGATATATATTTCTTTCATCCTCTTAACAACTCTCCGTCTTCTGTCGACAGAAATGCCTGCACATAAATGTGCTTCTGTGGAGACAAGAACCCCAAATAATCAGCAGCAGGTTGATACAGCGAGCAGCAGCCTCCCGCAGTGAGAGCAAAAGTCAGAGAAGATGCCACTCACAGGCAATTAACACACTGCAACAATAACGCTCCTCAAAACTCTTAACCAAACCCCTCAGATGCACACAGCTGCAAACGCCTACACTCTCTCTCCACTGGTTTACAGGTTGTGTTTTTGTGTCAGGTGGCTCGGAGAGGTTGTGAGAACAGCAAGTTGTCCCTTGAGCTGGCATGATATCTTTGTTCCCTTCTCTCAGCATCGGGGTGCCACTCCAGGAAATGAGCAGCGACACACAGAGGAGCTTCCTCCTAATAGGTCAGGTCATGTATGAGCATCATGAGAGCTGACCCTGGGGTTGACTCTGTGATGGAGGAAATGAGACTGTGGGGAAAGGCAGCGGTGAGCAGCCCGATAGAAGTCGTTGCCGCACATAACCAATGTTCATAAGGGACGAGACACAGCAGGCACACGCACTGTCAATCTCTATTATTCACCAGAGTATAGTAACGATACTAAATACTAGATTCATTCCTTAATCCGAAAGTGTTCATGCAGAGGTTTGGCTGCTGCCTCCCAGCAGATTACGACATCAACAGCACACACGACAGTTAGTGAACACACCCCCAGGACATGTCAGTGACGCCCACTGGCCACGATATTCAATGATTTTCTAACACAACGCTGCATTTCAAGAGTAACATGGACTCCCTCTAATCGAGTCAGGCAAGCTGGTTCAGTTGTTTTGAAAGACTGTACATCACCCCCCCCCACCCCGGGTAACACAGTGTGCTCACACCATCATGCTAATCCAGCTGCCTCCCCCACCACCATGCTCCAACAAGCAGGCCACGAGAATGGAGGTGACCCAATAAACCGCGTCCACATGTAATGAGGAGTGATTCCCCTGCTGCGGAGGGAGAGGCCTGGGCTTTCCCCCTGTCTGTTCTTCTTGGCATATCTTCAGTTCGGCGAGTGACTCAGCCCTTTGGATGCCCCGTGGCTGCCAGGCGGCAGCTGAGTTAAATTAAAAATGGCCTGGTGAGCTCTCCAAATCATTTACGCCATTTTATTTGTAAGCAAAAGAAGCAAACATTCCCTCGTTGCAACTCCTCGAATGTGAATAGTTGCTTGTTTTCTTGAATAAAGTTAAAGTAAATAGAATATGTTTTGTTTCTGGATTGTTGGCAAAATGAGCAATATACATATGTCAGCTTTGGCTCTGGGAAACTATAATGGGCATTTTTCACTATTCTGATATTTTCATCCTAAATTTAGTTATTTTTTAAAATTGGTTAACAGGTGATAGGAGTCCTGACATCACTGTGAAGTTGCCAGGCAATCAGCAGAGATCTCGAGAAGTTAATGCTCATATCCCTGAAATAAAAACAACAAATTGTTTTTGCACCTCAGTTTTAATTGATACAACATGTTAAATAGCCTAAATAAAGCAGGTAGGCAGCTTTTGTTACCATTGGACAGAGCCAGCTGTCTAGCTTTCCTGTCTTTATGCTAAGCTAAGCTAATCAGCTGCTGACCCATATTTTACATTTACCATACAAACAAATGATGTCAGTCCTCCCATCTAATTGAATCAACAAGGAAAGCACTTGTTGGTAGCAGCCCTAAACATAACAAAGTACTAGTGAATGAATTATGGAAAGAGTCACAAAGATGAAGAAAGTGCATACAGAATCCAATTTACGTTAACCCCTCAACATCCGGCTTCATCTCCACACTTGCCGACAGTATTTCATGTATTCAGCTCGTTGCAAAACAAGTGGTAAAAACAGAAAATGTCGATAGTTGACAATATAACCTTTATGCTTTGGAGAATAATGAAAAAAATAATAGATTCAGCCTGACATACTGTATCTGGTGTCTTTGCTCTCCTCTCTGGGTACAAACCAAGTTTATCCAGCTCGCCCCTGTCGCCATGTGTTTGTCAAACAAATGATGAAAATCCCATTTTCAGTTTTCACAGCAGCCAATCTGCATTGATGATGATCCGCCACACAGCATCCACGCACTTTATTCGTTTGAAATGATAATTTCACAGTAAGTATATTTCCCACGGTTATTACCGTCATTTAGGAGCTCCAAGTGCTTCACCGTTTTGCCGGCAAGAGACAGGTTTGCATAACTCTTATATAATTATGGCAGCGCCTTGACGAAAGGGGTGGGCATCTGAAGAAACAGAGCAGAATTAAGGGGCAAGTGAAGGAGAGCCAGGCAGACAGGCGAACCCTTTCTGCAAGCCTTCAGTGCTAAGCGACCCAGACGGGGAATCTGTCATGTTGGATGCCAATGCTAACTAAATGCTGAGGTATATGACATCCGTTCCTCCCACTCAGTTATCTGTCAGTGTGTGTGTGTGTGTGTGTGTGTGTGTGAAGGTTGTGGGCTGGTGATAGGTCAGAGGCAGGCTCAGTGTATGTTATATAAGCGACAATTATGTTAATGTAATGACCGTATTGATATGCACTGACATCTGGTGCTGCGGAACAGATGATGGATGAGTATCGGTTATTAAGCGTGTGTCAATGGTCTCGTGTTCAGGAGATGAAACCAGATGGCGAGGAATGCCAGTTTAGGGCAATTACTGCAGAATGTGTGCAGAAAGTATGCAGCGATGACACGGTTGTTTTCATCGCCCTTTTGAGATGAAACCTCTTAAAAATATACAAGCACAGTGTCTTAAATCCCATTAAAAAAAATAAACACACCATATACAGGGATGGCCCTCTCTCTCCCCATCCAAGGCCAGGCAGCAATGGAGCTCACAGCTGGAGAACGGTGGAAGTGGGAATCTACTGTCTCCATTCATGGCTCCTCTCCCGCTCCTCAGCTGTGCCATTTTCAATCAATAGCTTTTAGGAAATCAGCGTCTACGCGGCAGTTTGAAATGAAAGGCCCCTTTTGTTGCGAGGCCCGTAGTGTGTCTAATGATCGCACGCTGAAGAAACACGCACGTTTTTCAGAGGCATTTTCTCCCCCGTTGCAGCAAATTACATAATATGTTCATGTTCAAAGTAAAGCCTGAATGGCTTTTTGATGTGGGGGGGGACCTGCATTTACTGCCAAAGTAGGAATTAAGGTGATGCCTACCTAACTTCTGCTGCGAAGGGGATGAAAAGTGGTGCGTTTTAGCAGCAGTGCAGAACGAGACTTGCATGTGAATAAGATCATCTTGTACCCCCTCTGGCTCCAGGTGTTTACAGGGACCACTAATAAATCCCATCTGCATATATGCTTACCTCCTCCTCCTCCCACTACTGCTGCTGCTTCTCCCGCTTCCTCCTCTCTGTGGATCGGTGCCTGCAGGCAGAACAGGAACGCAAGAATGACTTTGATTTGACCAAAGAGAAGTCAGACAACTCCTTAATTATATTTTCTCAAAGCAATATACTCCTCAGACACATCACCGATGCAGTGATGAAGATGAAGTACGTTACCAGTAATGGATTTTAAAGTGGTGCTGATGACAAAATATGAAGGTATGGCTGCAGTGCCACGCTAACAGTTCAAGAAAAGGATTAAAATCCTTTGAGGACGATTTCCATAGTAACACATAATGTAAAGTTAAGACCCAATAACGGCTTCAATACAGCAAAAACATGTATTGTTCAGTAGTGGAAGGAGAAGGAGGTCCCTACAGTCAAACGGTGGCTGATTAATACCCTAAATCTTGAAAGAGCTGCAAAGGGATAGACTTTCACAGTTTAACAAGATCTGGCGTTTTCTTACGGATATCTAAAACCACAACATAAATCTTCAGTGATCACCTTTTTCTCCATGTGTACCTGCATGTTTTTCTTGCTTTGGGTTGTGTGAGATTGTCTGTGTGGCAGCAGAGGGGCGGGGTTCACTACAGCTCGACTTTATGTCGTGTGTACTATGTAAACAAACCATAAATGACGCTCTGATTTCATGAGGTGGTATATCCCTCTTTCAATTAAACATATTTGTTTATATCATGCTGCACTTTGTATTACATTTGCAAAGCATCCCATGTTGGGGTAACAAGTGCAGTAGCCTACTTACCACTGAAATGTGATGACGTTAAAGAATGATGTCTCACAAAATAGAGGTAATAAAGTAAAGAGCCCTAAAACATACTTTAGATGAATTGTGTTTCCACTTTCCACTTCTACTTTGTACAAATACCATGAACTATATTTTCATTAGTACAGTGTAGCTCAGTCTGCAGTTTAGTTTTTACTGTATTGAGATTGGCTTTCAAAACCAGATGCATTGTGGGATGGTGACTATCAGCTGTTAATCCAACACCGCCATCTGTGGTTTGCCCAAAGTAACTGCTGCATTATGGAGCTGAGATGAAAGTGTGACTCTTCACTTGAAGCCGACTACATTCAAACTTATATATTTTCTGGTGGGCAGAGGCTGTGACTGATTTCACCGGCACAGTAACCGAAGACAAACTGCCTAGGCATGAGCCTAATAACCTGGAGTAATTTATAATACATTATGATGCATTATAACAGTGATTATAACTATAATTATGCAGTACTATATGCAGATTATACGTATGTTTAACATGAATAATAGATACATAGAAAGTATTACAAGCTAAACTTAACTGAAATAATTTTTAACCATAATTAAATACATGAATCTCTGTAAATTATCATTTGACAAATTAATTAATGCCATTTTCTCTATTAGCAGTCATCCTTATCTGGAAGTGCGTGAACAGACTTTCACTGATGTGTTTAAGGCCACCAAGACAATCAAATGCTCATTTTAATTACTGTTTCTTTGGGGGGTTCTTTTGCTCATCAAAACTTCCGTTTGGTTCCAGTTATCACTAATTAAAGTGCATTTGTATGCATGTGGGAAACCTAATTAAATACAGAGTGCTACGCTCTCTGTTTCTAATCATCTGAAGACATTTGCTGCTGCGTTTTTTTGATAACATTTTTGCTTTAATGTTTAACAATCATGCAAGACTAAATCCATTATTGAAAGACAGAGAAATTACTTTTTAATTTCTGTAATCGATTTTTTCTTCAATCTTACTGTACCGATTTAATATGTTAACTTTCAAACAAAAAATATTTTTAGAAATGGTGAATCAAAGTGTATTTTGAAGGGATATTGAAATGTGTGCGCAGTATGTAACATACAGAAAATGATGTGGTTTTGGCTCCATGTAAATCTGTATTTACATTTTACAGCATCAGAATACAGCATGCTCATAATACCTTGTTTGTCTTGATTAAATCAGATGAATATATAAGTGTTCAAAAAAATAATAAAGATTGTAATATTACTACTAACAGTCATAGCAATAATTATGTACAATTGTCTACAATTATCTTATATATTTTACACTTAGCACTGATTTTTTACATGTTTACTAACATTGATAATAACATGCAGCAAACTATCTTGTCAAGAAAGAATGTATTTGAGTGAGGATACACAATAACACAACAGTTGATGTATGGATAACTACTTTTGTATTATAGAACTATACTACAAAGTTAAACTTTTATCAATAGGCCTTTTTCACAGAAGACACTTTGACATGTCATAGTAGGAATAGCACAAGTATAAATAATAAAAGGAAAGAAAGCTGAATTATATTTGCTTCATCATTCCGGGTACATGCTGGCTCACTGTCATACTGCCATAACTTATTGGGACTAGTGAATAGAGCAGAGGCATGTTAGTGTCATCAGTAAGATGAAAAAATAAAATAAAATAAAATTAAAATAAATGTATTATTAAGACCACTGCAACCACACACACTTGTCAGTATTAAGTTTGTAACCAGGTATTTCCATCATTGAACCACTAGGGGGCAGCAGAGCGCCTCTTTTTAGCGGCAGAACAACTGAACAGCAAAGTTTAACGTGAACTGAAGCCGGGTAGAGATGAGTCAAGTCAGCATGAGACACCCAAGACAACAGAGAGAAAACGGGCAGTTATGACCTTAAAAATAAAAGGGTGGATTTGTCCATTGATGGTTTAAAATGACTGGTTAGAAATGTACTAGTACATTAAAATCCCATTCTCTTGTAATACCAATAAGGTGTGTGGCTACAACCTACAGTATTCAGAGTCACACGAGGCTACTAATGGCTTTTCTGTCACCTTCTTAATTATAACTCACCTAATGTCCCATCATCACAGGCTGATTAGAATTATGAATGGAAACGACACACTCTCTGTGGCCCTGCTAGCTCACATACTTACATCATCAACATGCTTTGTGTAAACTTAATTTAAACTTTGTTTGGGAACATACACTTCCAAATTACAATACCTGACATAGAATGTACACATCGCATAGTAAGTGGGAGGAAAGCTAAGACATAAAAAAGGAGTTGCTTTTGTATCAGGGTTGGATAATTTTATAATTTTGGTGGGCCAAAAAGTTGTCATATTTGAATATGCCGAGTGTAAAATAACTACAATCGCTCACCCTGTGTACATTTTTAATTGCAGAATAAAAGCTCTCTTTAGGTTTCTTAGAAAATAAGGCCGAGGATACGACTTCAGTGGGAACAACGCATGTGTCCTATTTTGAAATATAACCGGAAGTGGTGTGTTACAGTCCGTTTCTCTTGACACCCGGTCCGAGCAGCAGGCTGTCAGTCGCAGTTTGACAGTCCACTTGCTCGGGTAGCTATGTGACAGAGCGGCCGCTGCTTTATCCCGGTCCGCTTAGGATGGATCAGAGGAGAGCTGAACCGGACCCCAACAACAGCATCAACCCGGTTTCGCTGTACGGGGAATTCACGCTCGCAGGTAACCGAAAAGTCCGGTGTACCGTGAGCTTGACCGAGAGGGACCTCATCGTCCAGAGGCTCACCTCGGCACCTGTCGGGCGGAACAAGGTGATGCTCAGCCTGAAGGACTGCGTCGGTTGCCGGGCTTACCGGGAAGATGACAACGCGGACCCGGCTGCGTACTTAGCGGCGCACTTCTACCCGCTCAGACGGCGCTGGATGAGTTCCGGGGTCTCGCGGCAGAGAGCGGAGCACTGCTTTCGTCTCGCCGCGCTCCAGGACCCGCGCGCTAATCTGGAGGAGGCGGAGAAGTGGGCTCGCGCTGTCCGAGAACGCTCTGTACGGCTACAGTCACTAAGAATAGACGGTGAGTGCTCGTGAGCAACAAGAGGGAAAAGTTCACTGTGTGATGATGGTGATTTAGGCCATTTAATAGAATAGATACCTGTAGGTACCCTGCTAGTGTTTAGTCTGACTTTGCTACCAACTAAAAAAGGAATTATCCAAAATGACGAGCTATATTGTACCTAATGATTATTTTAGTTATTAATTCATCAATTATTTACAAGATAAATCACATTTGACAAAGAAAAGCAGCACCTAAGATTGTTGGCACTTTGCTTGGAAAAACATAATGAAAGGATCAGACAATCATCCAAATCGTTGTTGATTATCTGATATATTCATGGATTAATCCTTTCAGCTCTGTTGTTTCATTAGTCACTTTAGGGAAATGACCTCCATGCCGTGAGGAGACTTCATGGTCCTCCCTAATTATTACAGCCATTGTTTTTAAAGGCAGTGTTAACTGCACTAACAACCTCTGTCTTTTATCAGTTTCCCCTTTAACTTGTTCAAACAGACACAAACTCAGGGAAATTGTCAATTACAATGTCTTTGATCATTTAGACATACATTTTAAAGGTGTGATCTTTGCTCTTATCAGTTTGCCCAACAGCTATTAGGATTCTTTGCTTATTTGCTGTACAGAAGTGGGTTCTTGTCACCTCATCATCTCTACCTGAAGGCTTTAATTCCACAGCTGGTCTGGTACACAGAGTCACATTTCAGTAACGTGATTCAAACAAAACCTTTTAATATAAAAAAACATGGCAGTACTGCTGCTGAGTTTACATCATGTCATGTCCTGTATAGAACCGGTTTCTTATCTGTTATCTGTCACAGGGTATCATGACCTTTAACCTACGAGTGTGAATAAAACAATAGGACTGGTGTGGTATGGAGAGTTACATTACAGTAACCCCAGACTGCCAACGAACCATTTTAACATAAAAGACACCTGAGAAACGTGAGTGTGTAATATGCTACTGAGTTCACATGATGCCAAGAGGTATAATTACTCCGCTGGGAAACATTGTCTAATTGGAGATTTCTAAAGATAAGTTGTCTCATTATTTGTCCTCCTCACCGAGCTGTCCCAGCTGGAAGAAAAAAACATGAAATGCATTTTTTTGCCTCACCCAAACTTTTTCCTCCACACAGCCATGGTATCACTGCCACTCTGTGACCCAGATAGCGTTCCCCCAATTGCACAAATATATTTTTAACGAGACAAAATATGCTGCAGAAGCCTGTCAGAAGAGGAAAGATCAGACTTTCAGCAACTGAAAGGACACCATTATTTACTTTGACATGCATTGTCTGGAGCCGAACCTGAGACGGCGACCTGACAATTGTTCTACCTTGGGACGGAGAACACAAACGTAAACGGCTTCAGCGGCTTTGTAGTAATGAATTACACCTCTGCCTCCATCCAGTTTATCCAGCCTTTGAAACACCGGCTGTATCCGGGGCAATTTCTACAGACGCAATTTTATTTCATGTTCTCCAGAACTTAGTTTGTGTCTGACAACAACGATGCAAAGTGGAACATTGGAAACTAGAGCTGAAACAACTGACTGTCCACTGAGCTTAGTGAGCACATATGCAGCTCACAATGGAATTAACTGATCAAAAATCATTGTATTTTACAACAGTAACTGTAACAGCGGCTCCTTCAATGCACGCACAAGTAAACAAAAGCAGGACTGTCGCTAGAGGATCTTTAAAGACTAAACGATAGGTTTGGCAAATGTAAAATCAGCCGTATAATTCATCACAACTGCTCGTCAGAGGGTCGAGTAGCTTCGGACACTCATTCTCCCAACGTCTTAAAGTATTGTAAAATGATTGTGCTGGTTGGTTGGACAAAAACAGGCGACTTTTCACTGTTATTTGATTAACTGGCAGATTAATCAGCGATGAAAATAATCATTAACTGCAACCGAAAACCTGTGAGGTACATATTTTTAGGAGGGTTGGCTGTCCAGAAGTGATTGAGTCGAACAGGACCAGATGTGCTGAGCGAGAATGTGGGCTGCATATATACAGCTACCACTGGGCATCCTGCAGAAGTGTCACATTTCTGAGCATTTTTGTGGTCAGTAGCATTCATTTCAAACCTCGTTCAGGCTGAAGGGGTCTTTGGTATCTCTGGAATGTGACGACAGGATTCCCGTCTGAAAAGCAGTCTGCAGTGAGTTACTCATTACGCCGACGGCCTTGTGAACCGCACTAAATCATGTTCAGGAGCTCTGCATCCAAACCACTGGCCTAAATGAGGTCAGCGCTGCCCGTCTGACCTTGTCATCAATATTGGTACAGATGCCGTCGGCTTGACTTCCGGCATCCTTGCATGATTGTTCAGAAAGCATCTGTTTTTCATGACTTCAGCCTGCTGGATTACAGACTAGTTATTTCCTCACAGCAGGAGGAAGTGCAGAATATACTGCATGTCACGGGCTGTGCAACGTTTAGCAGAAGAAGTGAGTCGACACATTGGTCTTTGTTGGCACTTCTTCCTCCTGACTCTAAAACCTCATAAATGTCCTCCCTGCTCTGATGAACACAGCTGACAGTTCAGATGCTTTGCCAAGTGTCTCCTAAATAGTATTGATCCTACGTTGTCAATAAATGGATTAAATGCAGCTGTGGACAGCATCATCATTGTAATGAGTAAGGTGACGGCAGCAGGCAGAGCGGTTACTAGTATCGAGTAAATCAATCGCTCTGGGTTGTCATCTGGCTACACAGAATGCATCAGGTAGTGACACAACACTGTCACCCAGCAAATACAGGCTCACCGGCACTGTGGTCCTACCGTTTCTAGATTTTAAGAAACTGTATCTGGGACAAACACGGTGACATCTTAAATGTGCAGCGCTCCTGATATTACCAGATACATTTTATTACAACGGCCATGTGTTGTGTAAATGCTGGGCCATCTAATATGTTAATAAACTCAGTAGCAGTATGATGAGCATTCACACAATTATGAATTTTAATTATTTTAAAATGATTCTATAGCTTGCTGAAAGGAATACGGATAACTCGGGAAACTTTATAAGGATCATGTGTTAATGCATAATATCTGAATGAGGCTGTTCGTTTACGTGCGAAACCCTGATAATGGCAGTGATGGAAAGTCCAAAGCACCTTATTCAACCGTCTCGGGGGGGTCTTTGCTCCTTTTAGCAGCAAAATGCAGGCCTCTCAGCCAGTCGATTCTATTACTAATACATTACCTCTGGCCGAGACAGAGTTGAAGCTGGGACGATGGTTTGTTTGCTCTATTACGCACAATTTCATACTTGCACGCAAAACAAAGAGCTTGATGCTACATTATGTAATCAGGTGATTCCTTTCGAAATGTAAAAAACAGGGCCGAGAATGCGGACACAGCTCCTACTGCAGTCGTACAGAGACCGGATCGCCCGTTGTAATGGGTCCGGCACCCCATACTCCCGCAGCACCCCCCACAAGGGACCCGGTCGAAAGCCTTCTCCAAGTCCACAAAGCACATGTAGACTGGTTGGGCAAACTCCCAGAACCCCTCCAGTAGTCTTGCGAGGGTAAAGAGCTGGTCCACTGTTCCACGGCCGGGACGGAATCCGCATTGCTCCTCTTGAATCTGAGGTTCGACAAACGGTCGGAGCGTCCTTTCCAGCACCCTGGCATAAGCCTTCCCCGGGAGGCTGAGTAGTGTGATACCCCGGTAATTCGATCACACTCTCCGGTCCCCCTTTTTGAAAATGGGAACCACCACCCCGGTCTGCCAGTCCATGGGCACTGATCCCGACCCCCATGCGACATTGAAGAGGCGTGTCAGCCAGGACAGCCCAACTATGTCCAGCGCTTTCAGCATCTCAGGGCGGATCTCATCCACCCCCGGCGCCTTGCCACCGAGGAGCTTTTTGATCCATCTGATCCAACTCACCACCAGGTGGTGATCAGTTGACAGCTCTGCTCTTCTCTTCACCCGAGTGTCCAAGACATACGGCCGCAAATCAAATGATACGATTACAAAGTCGATCATTGATCTCCGGCCTAAGGTGTTCTGGTACCAGGTACACTTATGAGCCACCTTATGTTAGAACATGGTGTTCGTTATGGCCAAACCATGGCAAGCACAGAAGTCCAATAACAAAACACCATTCGGGTTCAGATCGGGCAAGCCGTTCCTCCCAATCACCACCCGCCAGGTTTCTCCGTCATTGCCAACGTGAGCGTTGAAGTCCCCCAGGAGAACTATGGAGTCGGTAGGTGGCGTCCTTTCCAGGACCCCTCCCACCGACTCCAAGAAGGCCGGATACTCTGAACTGCTGTTTGGTGCATAAGCACAAACCACAGTCAGAGCCTTGCTCCCCGCAACCCGTAGGCGCATGGAGACGACCCTCTCGTTCTCCGGGGAGAACTCCAACACAGCGGCGCTCAGCCGGGGGCTCGTGAGTATCCCCACTCCCGCCCGGCGCCTCTCACCCTGGGCAACTCCGGAAAAGGACAAAGTCCAACCCCTCTCCAGGAGCTTGGAGCCAGTGCTGTGTGTGGAGGTGAGTCCAACTATATCTAGCTGGTACCGCTCCACCTCCTGCACCAGCTCTGGCTCTTTCCCCGCTAGCGAGGTGACGTTCCACGTCCCTAGAGCTAGTCTATGCTGCCGGCGATTGGCTCGCCCAGGCCTCCCGAACTGACCCGCCGCCCGGTCTGCATTGCACCCGACCCCGATGCTTATCCCTGCGGGTGGTGGGTCCACAGGGTGGCTGCTCCATGCTGTTTATTCGGGCTGAGCCCAACCGGGCCCCATGGGCGAAGGCCCGGCCACCAGACGCTCGCCGACGAGCTCCCCTCCTGGGTCTGGCTCCGGGAGGGTGCCCCGGTTTCCCTGGTCCGGGCGAGGTGACTGAAGTCCGTGGGCTGCTTTTCATTGGGGCTGTTTTGAACCGCTCTTAGTCTGGGCTCTCCCCTGAGACCTGTTTGCCTTGGGCGACCCTACCAGGGGCTAATGCCCCGGACAACATAGCTCCCAGG